GGAGGGGTAGTCTCACAAACAACGCACGATCGGCGGCGGCTGCGATTGACAGCCACCGCCGGGCATAATGAAAATCTTATGTTTGAACTGCCGGGGACTTGGGCGGCCCGAGGCAATTCGTGAGTTGCGTAGCTTGTGTGAGCTACATCGCCCGTGGTTGGTGTTTTTGTCAGAAATAAGGTATTTCAGTAATAATGTGGATGGCCTGGTTAGGACCCTGAATATGTCAGGGGGATATGGCATTGGCTGTTTCGGCAGGGGGGCGGCCTAGCACTCTTGTGGACCCGGGATGTCGAGGTGAAACTCGAGAGCTATGACAAACTCCATATAGACGTCATGGTTCATCAGTCGTCTGCACCAGGAAAAGCTTGGCGTTTCACTGGCTTTTATGGTGAAGCTAGACGTGATCTGAGGTATAGAAGTTGGGATTTGCTCAAACTCCTTAACTCGAGCAACAATCTTCCATGGCTGTGCGCAGGTGACTTCAATGAAGTACTGCATGCGAGTGAGAAAATTGGTGGTCAAGGGCGTTCGGAAAGCCAGATGGAAGGCTTTTGGGAGGCGGTGGAATACTGTGGTTTATCGGACCTGGGTTATATCGGGCTTCCGTACACGTGGGACAATAGGCAACCAGACAGCACTAATGTTAAATGTCGCCTGGACAGAGGTCTAGCAAACTCTGAGTTTCTGAACCTCTTTCAGTCGACCAGGGTCTGGCACGTGCAGACAACAGAGTCGGATCACTGCTACTTGGTTCTGGAATGCCTTCAGCATAGCGGGGTGAGAAGGAGAAAACACATGTTTCGCTACAAAAATATGTGGCGCCGTGATTCTTCTTGTACTCGAATGGTCGAAACGGCCTGGGGTAGACTGGACAATCCAACGAACTTGTCACAACTGTCGTCGCAGCTCGAGGGGGTGACGGGTGAAAGCTCTAGTTTGGTTTTGGTGAATTGATGAAACCCGAAGTGCTAACCTAGTTTATCAAGTGATCATGAGATAGGTAGCACATTCCAAGTGGTGAAACAAATAAAGATCATGACATGATGATGGCGATGCCATGGTGATGATCAAGTGCTTGGACTTGAAAAGAAGAAAGAGAAAAACAAAGGCTCAAGGCAAAGGTATAAGTGATAGGAGCTATTTTTGTTTTTGGTGATCGAGACACTTAGTGAGTGTGATCACATTTAGGATCGATAGCTGTACTATTAAGATGGGTGAAACTCATCAAAATGCGGTTATCAAAGTGCCACTAGATGCTCTAACTCATTGCATATGCATTTAGGATCTTGTGGAGTACTAACACCCTTGAAAATATTTGTGAAAATATGCTAACACACATGTGCACTAAGTGATACACTTGGTGGTTGGCACATTTGAGCAAGGGTAAGAAACTTCACCGGCGGAGTGTCCGACGGTGCCACCGGCGCCCTATACAGAAAAGACAGGATTTCACAGAGTGATCGGACGCTAGGTCACTTTGTGATCGGACGCTGGATGAGTGCGTTCGGTCTTGCTGACGTGGCAGTGCACAGAGGAGACAGTGTGTGACCGGACGCTGGGGGTCCTACGTCCGGTCATGTTCAAACTGATGCGTCCGGTCGCAGCTGGAACCTTACTGGAAGTGACCAGACGCTGGGGTCCTGCGTCCGGTCGTGGCACTGTGCTGCGTCCGATCATCACTTGACCATTGGGATCGGGCGCTCAGTATTTGAAGAGATGGATGACGTGGCAGCCATCCGTTGACCAGACGCTGGAAGGGTGCGTCCGGTCGATTTGACCGACGCGTCCGGTTACCCCGAGTTGTGCCCAGTGAAGGGGTACAACGGCTCTATTTCGTGGGGGCTTCTATTTAAGTCCCATGGCTGGCTCAAGCTCACTCTCTTGACCATTTGCATTGACATAGCAACCTTATGAGCTTAGCCAAAGCTCTCCCACTCATCTACATCATAGATTCAACATTTTTATGAGATTGGGAGTGAATCCAAGTGCATTGCTTGAGTGTTTGCATCTAGAGGCACTTGGTGTTCGTGTTTCGCTGCGGGATTCGCTTGTTACCCTTGGTGGTTGCCGCCACCTAGATGGCTTGGAGCAGTGAGGATCGTCGAGCGGAGGTTGGTGATTGTCTCCGGCTCTGATCGTGGTGATTGTGAGGGGTTCTTGACCTTTCCCCGGCAGAGAGCCAAAAGGTACTCTAGTGAATTGCTCGTGGCTTGTGTGATCCTTATCTTGTGTTGGTTGTGCGGCACCCTATTGAGGGTTTGGCGTGTGATGCCAATTAACGTGTGAACATCTAAATGAGTGAATCGCCACAACGAGGAGTAGCTTGCCGGCAAGCAAGTGAACCTCGGTAAAAAATCATTGTGTCAACATTTGATTTCTAGGTGATTGGTCTTTATTGGTATTCATCCTTGTGATTGATTGGTTCACTCCTCAACATAGCGGTATAACTATCTTGCTCTCTCTCTTTATAATATCGCAAACTAGTTGTCAAGCTCTTTAGTGTAGCTAGTTGTGCGAGCTTGTTAGTTTGGTTAGTGTGGCTCTTTAGTTAGCATTTGAGAGCGTACTAACTTAGTGTAGTGACATAGCTATTGTGTGGATAAAAACTATATATAAACTAGAATTGTGGTAGATGACTTGCATTTTTAGTAGGCTAGCGTAATAATTGCTTCGCCTTATAATTGTCTAACCGATTTGCTAAGTGTTGTTGTAGAAATTTTTAATAGCCTATTCACCCCCTCTAGCCATTAGGACCTTTCAACAGGTACAATGAACGTTTGGGAGAAGTCCAATTTTGGTTCAGTGCGTCAGGAACTGAATAGGCTACGCCGGGAGTTGGAGTCGGTCAGGCGCTCATCCTTGAGCTCAGGGCCAACACGACGCGAAAGACAGTTGATGGCTCGGCTGTCAGAGCTGTTAACAAGGGAAGAAGTGATGGAGAAGCAGCGTTCTAGGATTGAATGGCTGCGAGAAGGGGATCGTAACACCTCTTTCTTCCAAGCAAGATCCAAGGAGAGAGTACGCATCAATCGGATTTCTACGCTTAGGAGGGATGATGGCTCCATTGCAACTAACCAAGAGGCGCTGGAATCAACTTCCTTGGAATTCTATTCAAAATTATTCACTAGGCAGGAAGCACTCGATCCGGGACCAGTTCTAGCTTGCATCCAAGAAAAGGTTACTCCGGAGATGAATGACGACCTTCAGAAACCATATACGGCGGAGGAGGTTCGGAGAGCGTTGTTTATGATGGGAGCTAATAAGCCCCCCAGTCCGGAATTTCTGACAGCGGGTTTCTATCAGTTCCACTAGAATGTTTTGGGACTGGGTGTAACAGCGGCAGTGCTGGATTTCTTGAATGGGGGTGAAATACCGGACTCAATTAAAAGCACAACTCTAGTGCTAATCCCGAAGGTTAAAACTCCACAGGAGATGAAGCAATTCCGGCCAATCTCCCTTTGCAACGTAATATATAAAATATGCTCAAAGGTGGTGGCCAATCGCCTCCGGGTGCATCTCGATGATGTTATATCAGAGGAGCAAAGTGCCTTCGTCCCTGGCAGACTGATTACCGACAACGTGCTTGTGGCCTATGAGTGCACACATTATCTATAGAGGAAGAAAGGAAAGGTCGGGGCATGTGCAGTTAAGCTCGACATGGAAAAGGCATATGATCGCATTGAGTGGGACTATCTCAAGGGAATTATGCTCAAACTGGGGTTCCATGAGAATTTTGTCTCACTTGTGATGAGGTGCGTGACATCGGTTTCTTTTTCAATTAAAGTTAATGGTGTTCTCTCATATGCTTTCAGCCCCACTAGAGGATTACGGCAAGGAGACCCCATCTCGCCGTATTTGTTCCTGCTGTGCGCAGAGGGCTTGTCTTCTTTGTTGAAATCTGTTGGTCCAGTGCATTTATTCAGAGGTGTCCACGTGGGCATCCACGCTCCATGGGTATCACACCTTCTTTTTGCGGACGATTGTATAGTCTTTTCTGAAGCGTCGCAAAGAGGGGCCGCCAGACTTCAAGAGATCCTAGATACTTATAGTCGGGAATCGGGACAGCAAGTTAACAGAGATAAATCGGCTGTCTTTTTTAGTAAAATTGCCTAGATGAAGTGAAGGAGTTGGTTCGGCATGAGCTACATATAGATACAGAAGCACTCTCGGACAAATACTTGGGCCTACCTACTGCACTAGGCCGATCTACTTCAGAAGCTTTTCAGTTCTTGCCGACAAGAGTTAAGCAGGTAGTGGGTTCTTGGAGTGGCAGACATGCGAGCTGTGCAGGAAGAGAAATCCTTCTAAAATTGGTGGCACAGGCAGTCCCTACATATTCGATGAGCTGCTTCCTCCTCTCAAAAACTACTTGTAAGAAGATGAGATCCACAATTGCTAATTATTGGTGGGGCGGTTCTGCGGATAACCGTCGGATACACTGGCTGCGATGGGGGGGCCTGACCCAGCACAAATCAGTAGGGGGCATGGGTTTTAGGGACCTGCACCTCTTCAACAAAGCTATGCTAGGAAAACAAGGGTGGCGCTTGATTACTCGGCTTGACAGTCTTTGTGCTAGTGTCCTCAAAGGCCGATACTTTCATGACGGGAATTTTCTTGATAGTACACGAAAGAAGCATGCAAGCCGTACTTGGAGAGCCATCCTAGCCGGAAGAGAAGTTCTGGAGAATGGTTTGATCAGAAGAATTGGTAATGGAACATCTACAAATATTTGGCAACATAGATGGATCCCCCTGCATTTTCGGGCTAAACCGTTGACGCCCAGTGATGGACAGGAGGTTACTTTGGTCTCTGATCTCCTGAATGACACAGGGCAATGGAACGAGGAGCTGATCAGGGCGGTCTTCTTCCCGGTTGATGCTAATGCCATACTACGGATCCCCTTGCGTCCACAAGAAGAAGACTGGCGGGCATGTGAACCGGAGAAACATGTCGAATTCTCGGTAAAATCAACATACTGGAAATTAGCTGAACCGGACATGCAAGAAATTGGAGGGTCAGGTGATAATTCTTGGAAGATACTGTGGAAACTGAAGGTCCCTCCAAAGATCAAGGTTTTTTGGTGGCAGGTATTAAATGAATTCATCCCAGCCAAGGATATTCTGAATCGTCGTCATATTGAACCAGTTGGTTTCTGTGAGTGGTGTGGAAGCCAAAGGGAGACAATCAAGCACATCTTCATGGATTGCACTACTGCCAGGGGTTTCTGGCGCGAGACAAAAGCTCTAACAGGTGTGAAGCTCCCTTCGCTACATCCCTTGACTTGGGCAAGTGATATTTTTCAAGATGAGGTTTGTTCAGAACGTGATCGTTGTGTCATCATTATTGGAATGTATGCTCTCTGGACACAACGCAACAGGAAAGACCACGGGGAGCAACAGCTGCCACTGCAGAAAGCTGTACAATGGGCGGTGGATATGGCCCATGATTTTTGGCAGACCACCAAACAAGCTATGCAAAGGACGATCGGGTTTTCTAAACCAACATGGAGGACACCACCGACAAGTTGCATGAAATGCAATGTGGATGGGGTGTTTGATCCAAGGACTGGCCAGGGGGCAACCGGTGCTGTTCTTCGGAATCACAGTGGTAGCTTTGTGAGTGGAAGAGCGAGATGGTACCCGTATGGCCTGGACTCACTAGCGTTGGAAGCATTAGCCTGCAAGGATGGGGTACTGCTGGCTGCGGAGAGGGGTGTCCAACGTCTGCAGGTTGAAACTGATAGCTAGGAATTGGTGAAGCTCTGGGAGGCGGTAGACACTCAAACGATCTAGTATATATCCGATTCTTAAAGAGATAAAAGGCCGCAGCGTAGCTTTCTTTGAATTTTCCTTGATGTATGCTAATCGCTCTTGTAATCAAGTTGCTCATGTACTAGCTAGACAGGTCTCAGATGACATTAGGATGGGTGAGTGGCATTCGGCCCCATCCTGTGTTCTTCATCTGCTGACTGAAGATTGTACTCCTGTTGATTCCTGATAAGAGAAAGATCATCAAGTCGCAAAAAAAAAGGTGAAAATACTTTTTTCCCCTTACATGCATGTTTGGATAATTTTGTTTGGTGTTCATTGGCCCAATGACAGTGTGGCACAAATTAGGCCCATGTATTCAGACCCTGTCTAGTGAATCTTCCGGGGCACTGGGCCTCCAATGTATTCGCGTCGTCGGGCTTAGCGACGGACCAGCTAGCTAGCACACGTACGGTGGCGACGCCCGCCATCGCCCACCGCCAAGGCACACGGACGGCAAGGGTCGAACCGAACGGGCCTGGACGAGCCGTGTGGTGGTGGTGTGGTCCTCGCTCGTCTCCAACCGTGCGGGTGCGGGGCAGCAGAGACGCAGTTAGAATCTGACTTGGGTCTTGGGATACCTGCCGATCCCTTTGCGTCTTTTGCTTTGGCCGGGCACGAGCGACCACGCACGCACCAAGAGGAGCCGAGTCGCACCGGCCCGGCGGCCAATTTTCTGCGTGGCCTCGCCTGCTCGCCACCATTCGTCGGTGCGATACGCTTCTTTATATACTAACTAATACCACCACCACCACCACCGAGACGGGCGGGGACACCGTGCATGTTGGCGCCCCTGTGCCGCTGTCCTCGCCCTGGCCTTAGTTTACTCGAGAGCCCCTTTTGGAGGCCATCAGCTGCTTGGATTTCAGTCCCTTTTAACAAGGGCAGGATTAATTTTTTCTCTACGCGATGTCGGTTCTTAGCCAGTTAGCCTATAGGAGTAAGAAATAAACCTGTGCATGAGCGATTGCAGCAGCACTGTGCATGGCACGTTCGGGCTGGGGGATCAGATTCGAAGCATCCGCCCACTGCCATTTGCCTCTCGGACGCTGGCGAAACAAAAACAAAAGCACCCGCGAGCGCGCGGTGTGGAGTGGAGTGGAGGGGAATGAGGCCGAGCAGAGCACAGCAGGCAGATCGATCACGGCAGCACTTACGTACCCGCGGCATGTTCTAAGGCTCCTGGGTCCTGCCGCTTTAGATCTGCGGATTGGACTGTTGCCCGTTGCGTCTAGCCGTCTCCGTCTAGCGATCTGCGCCACGTACTGGGGAACAGCTAGCCCGACGCTCCAAAGCTTCTGATAAACGTAACGCTGCCCACGCGCGTCGTCTTTAGATCGATCGAGATGGATAGTCCCGGCCGGCCGTTGAGCCGATCGATCGATCTGCCGCGTCGTGCACGCACGCAGGTGAGTACGTTAGATGTAGATCTACCGAAGGAGCAAGAGAGCAATGTGAAGAAATGATAGCCGTCGTCCCTTGCAGAGACAGGCGATCTTTTTATTTCTCTTCCTGAAAAGAAAAGAAGGGCCGGGAGGGAGTGATGATCAGGACCATGTTCCACGCACGCTACTAGCCTTTGAGCTCCTTGAGCTGGCCCTCCAGTACGTTTGATCGTTGGCTTATAAGCGGCGGCTTTATCTTGCTTTGATTCTACTAACAATATTTTCAAATTAGCGACTTATAAATCAAATCAGCCCAAACGAAAAGGTGTATTATAAGCCTTGCTTTGATTCTACTCCAGGGAGTGTGAAGCTGACAGACAGCTAGTAAGATCAGGATCGGAGCAGAGCTGCAGGGTGAAAAAGCCTTTTTACGCTGCTCCATGATCGTACGGAAGCAGGTGGTCGATGGAGAGCGATGTCTGCGGTGCGATGACACCCACCCACATCCATGATCCATCGCCCGCCGCCGATCCGATCGGAGCCGCAGCCGCCCCCGGGATATATGGCGATCGACCGATGGGTCGGAGCCGATCGAGTGGCCGGGCCGGATGATGATGGGTTCGCCCCTCCACATAGACACTGTTCACATGAACCAACCAGAGTACTTCTCTTTTACCTAAATGAACCAACAACGATATGAATCAGCTAACCGATCAGGCCACACATAATATATGTGCTCCCAAACTCGCCGGGGCCGGCGATCGACGTGGAGGCGTACGTACATACGTGGCCGGCAGGGCTGGGGTATCAGATGCTTCCGGACCAACAGTGCAAAAGCGATGGATGATTACTTTTGTTTCGGGCACCAACTCCAAGCTAGGTGTCCCTCGATCCGGTGCATTGCTATGCTATCCTCCATCGCCACCGAGACCAGACCAGACCAGATCGGGGCATGGGAACTATTGGATACGATAAAGATGAAATAAACTCGACTCGATCAATTAAAGGATCGCCGGGCGGGCGGACAGGGACAATTTACACTCCAACATGGGGACACCGGTCAGCGGTGCTGGCTAGGCTAGGCTAGTCGACCGAATGGAAACAACGTCCTCCGTCTCGTGGAGTAGTGCGCGATCGCGTACCCTATTAAATCCGCGGAAAATGGGCACGATCGCACGAATTCGAGAGCAACATGACATGTCCAGGAGCGGGGGAATCCGAGGGCGGCTACGAATGCGTACATGCAATTTTTGGCGGACAAAGACACGTTAAGAAAAAGGCGGATTGCTCTATCGGCTAGCTAGCTATATAAATAATCAAATGCATTATTTGAAATCTGAATTGCGTGCTGCCCTACTTCTCAGTTCTCACGTGAATCGTTTCTAAGAATGTTGTCGGATAAAACTGCATCATGTCGAGAAAGTGTTTGTCTCCCTCATTGTTGGAAATCATGAAAATAAATGGGGATTGCTCTTATCGGCTACTATTGAACAAATGCCCCTAAAATATGACATCACTCTGCCTCTCATGTCAATATATCGGTTTCCCTCGTTTACTGGTTCTGTAAAGATCTTTACAAGACGGTTTCGCGCCACGGAAAATATACCGGCCGCTTTAATTATTATACTTCTCTTTGTGCTTATCACTCTCACATAGGACAATCTTATTCGGTTGTGGTCGTTCTAGATAGTCCATGAAAGGTGTTTTATTATTAATTAAAATAAATGAACAGGCCAAGAAGAATATCTTTCAGAGTGGAGCCGAGCTTAGTCGCCCAGGATTTTGTTCCTTTGCAGATGGAGTTTTGCAAGACTGATAGATGTTACAGCCAATTAATAGATCGAGACGACAGCGGGGCAGACACCAGAGAGAGACGCCCACCAAACCAAGATGACAAGTGACGGAACGCCCAGGGGCAGGCAGGGTCAGCATCATCGATCGCGTTCAATGATGGCTACTAGCTACTACTCTGGTCCGCGGGCATGGCTGATGTTATCGTGCTACAGCCTATATAGCCACCGGGCGGGAGCCCTGCTGACCTGCTCGCATGGCACCAACAGAACGGAGCGTGCATGCCCTCCACTTTGCAGCCGCCCGCGGGAGAGCGACCCCGACTCACCCCGAGGCCGTGGCTGGTCGAAGTCGAAGGATGCCCTGCCGCCCTACGCGAGCGAGGTTGCCATTTCGCCATCCATGCCATGCCATGCCGCTGCCTCGAGTGGAACGACCGATGCGTCCATCAAAAGCTCGCAGCCACCCACCCATCAAACTCCTGTCGGAGTTCACACTCGCGCTTGATCAGAACTGAACAGGCGGGTCCAGGCAAGGCGGCGATCGAACGGATGGCGACGCTGCCCTCGTGCCGATCGAACGGCCAAAGACCGGCAGCGACTCCTCGTTTCCTCAATGGTGTGGCCATTTCCCGAATTGCACGGGCAGAGCTGCAACTCCCCCCCTGTCTGCCTGTCCCGACGAGGCGACGACGACGGCGACGGCAACACCATTTCCTCCGCTTCGCCTGCTCAGCCTCAGCGGCGGCCTCCACCCGTCGGTCGGGATCAGGATCTCCGTGGACGCACGCGACGCTGGAAATCTGCGAGGGCTTCTGCAGCGCGTGCGCTGTTGGAATCGCTGGCGGCGATGGGCAACACGGCTGGCATTGGCGTTGCTCTGCTGCTGCTTTTATTTATATGTATACAAAGGGGAATTTAAGCGCTACGCAGCTGGTCAATACGATCAAGCCACTGTGAACAATGTTAGCAAGGCTGCCCGAAATGATTTTGGTCACCTGTACCCTGTGGAAACATAGGAATGAGAGGACCTTCCAGCAAAAGGAAAAATCGACGCAGGTGAAGTGAGCGTACCTCAGCTGGTAGGATTTTTACGGTGGAACATGTATATCCGGTTTCAAGTCTTCAATTTAACATAGGTCATCGTGTATTTTTCTGAATTTATTCTAAAATTTAACAGCGCTATTCTTTCGGTGGTAGGCGATGTGTCCGTTGACAGTGAGCCGTTTGTGGTGACTTCGTCAATCTCGAGATTTACCGGTCTAACTTAGTTCTTCGAAGGTGCTCATAGGGATAGGGTGTGCATGCGTGCGTTCATAGGGGCGAGTGTGCATAGTAAAATTTCCAGCCGCCTCTAAAAATAGGAGTTGCATAGTAAAATTTGAATTTTTTAAATGACCAAAACAAAAATTGTAGATCTTAAAAAGTTATGTAACTTTGTAGTTGATGTTTTTTTCCATTTAAAATCATCTATACATAGAAAATTATGTTTGAATTTCTCACATTTGAAATTCAAAATTTTCAAACGACCTCGGCTGAAGAAACAACCAAAACCAAACATATGGATCTCGAAAAGTTATAAACCTTTATAGTTGACAACTTTTTAGATTCCCAAATACTCATTTCAAAATCGGATAAAGATAGAATGAGAAGAACGAATATCCCCAATAAAAATAAGTGTGTTTATAGGTGGCGATGAACGCATGAGGTATGAGGTCGCGGGTTCGAACCACGTGGCATAAGGTCACGGGTTCGAACCATGCAACCGCGCGAGGTGCGCGAAAAAAATCACGCGGCTTGTGTGGCTGTCTAGTGAGGACTTCTGGGATTATTATTATTTTGTTTTTTTTGGCTCAGATTTTTATTTTTGAAACAATCGATTTGCAGAGACGGCTTGAAAATGCAACCACCTCTGTAGATCGATTTCTAGAGGCTCTGGAGCCTGAAACCAGGCGGGCACGTATGCCCAGTATTTTTAATTTATTATTTATTTATTTATTTATCATTATATATAAACAGGCCGGGCCATTGTCACAAAGAGAGTAGATAACCAGCCCACAATTGGTGGCCCAAACTAAACGACAGCCACGAGCCCACGAGCCAATTCCGTGGCCATGCGCACCAGCGACTGAAAACACCATGGTTATGTGACTTATTACATCAGACTAACACAGAATGACTGCGAAACGGGTCCACACGAGACCGCCCGAGTTACATGGGGAGCTTGTTGATCTTGCAGTGCTGGTAGTCCTTGTACTTCTTGGCCTTGTACTTGGCCGGTCTCTCGTCCGTGACCAGCTTCGGGTGCGGCCCGACGACGAGCTCCCCCGGCGGCTCCACGAACACCGGCCATGACATCCGCGTCTTCTCCTTGTTCACCGTCGTACGGTGCAGCACCGCCTTGTACGTTCCGTTGCTGAAAATCTACTCGATCCGTACATGTGCATGTTCAACGAGACATAAAGAAACTCCGTACCAGTTAGTAAGAGTGTCCGCATCACACCATAGACGTGTGGTGTGGGAGCGATCAGAAGAGAAAAAAAGATTGCTTAGTCGCGTGCACGCTTGCCTCGATCTGATCGCCGATGTGGACGATGAGCGCGTCCGGCACGTACTTGGCGTCGTACCACTGATCATCCTTGAAGACCTGGAGGCCCTGCACCTCGTTGGGCACGAGGACGGTGAGCGTGCTCATGTCGGTGTGCGGCGCGACGCCGAGCGTGAGCTCTGGCTGCGGGCACGGCGGGTAGAAGTTGATCTTCTGCAGGAACACCAGGCCGTCGCCGCCGAACGCCTCCGCCATGGCGCCCTCGTGGAGGCCGAGCCCCAGCGAGAGGTGCTCGAACAGCTGGCGCGTCAGGCGCTGCATGTGGCGGCAGTACTCCTCGTTCGCCTCCCTGTACCCGGCGACGGCGAGGCTCTCGGGCCAGACGGCGTGGTCCACCTTCTCCGGCGGCGCGACGACTTGGAAGAAGAAGTCGTTCCACGTCTTCTTGCCCTCGAGGTCCCTCTGCAGCTTGGTGCCGTAGCCCTCGATCTTGCCCGACGCCGGGTCCATGGCGTAGCGCTCCTTCTCCTCCCGCGGCAGCGCGAAGAAGTCCCACCCGACGCGCTGGAGCTCGGCCACCGCCGCGGAGGGCACGCCGTGGTTCACCACCTGGAACAGCCCCCACTCCCTGGCGGCTACGGCCATGCGCGCGCCGAACCCGGGCTCCGACATGTCGATCACCGGCGCGTCCGGCGCGGCGGCCCCGCGGTACGTGGTCGCGCCCGGCTGGTCGTGCTCAGACCGCACGAACTCCGGCGGTAGCGCGCACAGCGACGCCGCCAGCTCCTGCACCCTCTGGTGCGTCTCCTCCCCCATTGCAGGAAGCAGGGCCTTGCGCGCACGCAGGCGCCGGGGAAGAGAGCACTGAATTAATAGTGTAGTGTCGTGGACACAGGACACGAGTGAATGCCTGAGTGGCGTATGGCACAGACGCGGTGCGGATTGTGTTGGTTGGTGGCTTGGTGCCCGACGTGGCTACCTTGCCATGCTGGTCAATGAACCTGAGATGGAGAGACCTGAGAGCGAGCGCGAAGAAAGGGCGTCGCGGATGGTGTGTTTCTGGTTCTGGCCCGTGCGATGGACCTACCAGAAATTCGTTTCTGTTCGCTCTGGCATGTCACGAACTTCAGCTGTGCATGCACGGTGCCCCCAACAACATGCAAGGTGCGCGCTCGACTTGGGTGTGCAACTTGCCGGGGCAATCTGGAGCAAACAAGTTAGTTCCAGCGTGATTGGTTGCCTGAACTGGACCGTCATATGGTCCATCCCACACCTTTTGGTGCATTTCGTTCGTGTTTGGTTGCCCTACTCGTCTTTTTTTTCCGCTTCCTCTCGTGCAGATGCCCTCCTCCATCCCAGACGGCGCCGTCTTCTTGATCCCCACTTTCCCTCGGTGCAGGCTTGCGCGGTGCTTGGCGGGAACCTTTTCGAAGAGCGCGGGAGATGAGGCCGTCCTGGCGATAAAAGCGCGCGCACAGGTCGCGGCTAGGGTTACCGCCCTCACTCTTCGCCTCTCCTTCCACCATAGCTCTGGTGCGAACTCCCCTCAAGCTCCCCCTCGACCTCGGTAGCCCTACCGAGGCGACCACCGCCGGTGGATTTCTCTTGGTCCTTCGGCGCTTTGACGGTATATGTCACATGCGCTCTTCCCCTCCTCCTTCTTCAGTGTCGATTTTGTTGATTTGTCTGTGGATTTTGCTTGCAATGCCAAGAAATTAGGGTTCTTGTTTTGACATCCTTAGATCTGTGCGATGCTATACCTAACTTACCTGTTTCTAGCTCAGATCTGTATATGATGCTTCGTATTTGATGTATACCTCATGTGTTCTGTAGATCTTGTGCCTGCTGATGCGGATCAAGGGAAGCGTACCGATCAGAGGACTAATTGTTCGAAATAAATTATTGACTAATCGTGGAACAGGAGATGATGGGACGGGCAGAGATGGGCACTGCACGATTTCGTCAATAAACAACGGCGAAAGTACTAGCAAGCGGAAAGCTAGATGGACATAGCGAAAGTTCTACCTTTGCCGCGTCTGCAGAACGTGAGTGTAGCGTACGCATTTCTTACTGTCGCCGGGTGGAAAATCTGCGCGGAATCGTCGAGAATTCGGAATTCCCAAGGCCAAGGGCCAAGAAGAATCTGCGTCCTATCAAGTGCTACGTGCAAAATCATTCATGGATGGACTCGTCCGGTTCTCCCCGGGGACAGATTTGCATCCGCTATGCTGTCATCATGATCCGCTATTCCGCTTCCAGGCAAAGCTGGCAAAGCCCTGCCCTGCACTGCAACTCCCAAGTCCAAGCAAACATGACACCGTCTCCAGTTGGCAGTTGGCACTGCGCAGAAAAACAATGGGAGTGGAGGTGGAAATGGTTTCACCCTTTTTTTGCCCACCACTTTGAAGCCACTGTTTTGTTTTTTCGTCGCCATTGCGAGAAACTTCCGTCTACCACCTGCCTTTTTCAGGGTACCTGATTCCCCACTGAGATGCACCTTTCTTTTATGTCCCTTCCTGAGAAATGCACCTGGTAATTTCTCACGAGATATATAAGGCCTAGTGGCTCTTTTTTTGGTTTTATCACACTTAGGCTGTTGTGGCGCATTAAGGGATTTATTAGGATTTTGTCCGAGACGACTTTGTGTCGCCCTAGCCTTATTTCATAGCCTTTTATTTGCAGCAATTCCTCAAGCCTACCTAGAAAGTGTGGTCAGTTGTAGGAATATTGGCTCAAAGACACTTGAGATCAAGTGGCAAATATCAACGCGCATGCTCCCATGTGCCCAAACCATAAAATACCATCTAAGCAGTAACAAGAGAGTTTCCCCCAAATAATTGTGCCATGCATATTGTGCTATTTCCAAGTACAGCACAACAAAAAAACAACTTTTTAGCATAATAGTAAGATACAGAGCTTCTTGGTAGCACATGTTTGATTAACCATCACTTAGGTTGTTTTAGAAAAATTTAAGGGTTTTTATGGGTGGTGAAACCTACTAGAAAAAAAAGTATAAACCGGGGGGGGTAACTGTTGCTATAACATAAAAGACACTTGACATTAAATGAGGAAAAAAATTTGGTGGTCATTAGCTTCCAACACCATTATTTAAACCTAGAAAACCCCTACAAAAATGTTGATATATTATTGCTATCTTTGAGCAATCCACAAAAAGTGACTTCAAGAACAATTTAAAAGGACAAACAAAGAAAGATCAACCTTCACAATTTATTACATGACGAAATTGTTACTTTTTGGTTATCTTAGCAAATTTGCGAAATCTTTGCACTCCCTCTATTCATTCATAAATACAAGTCTCTTGATCATATATGTTTTTGGGTTTTAAAATTTGACCATTGTTTTTTCTTATTGAAATATAGTTATACATTATAATACATCCATTTTGAAATATGAGCGCTTCTAGTTTTTGCTAAAGTCAAATTATTCTAAATTTGATTAAATTTATATATTAGAGTATTACAAAAACATATTTCAAATATTAATAGTGATCCTATTATTATTATTATTATTATTATTATTATTATTATTATTATTATTATTATTATTATTCATGAAAAGTAGCTTTCAAAACAAATCTTTACAAATGCATTTCATGGTATATTATGAAAAGTTCTAAAAGTTTAACATGGTTTTGGTCAAAGTGTCAAGCATTTGTGACCATCGAGTAATTTTTTGTTTAGGATATTAAGGAGGAACGGAGCATATTGTTCCCTTGAGATCAACTACTACTTTCTGTTGGCGAAACTATACCGTGCATAATTTGAGCCTTGTCAGACTTACATGAATGTCACTTCATTCGAATAAATAATTCTCTCTACACTATTAACGAAAGGTGGAATTAGTAGCGCCCAACGTTTAGAGAGACACAAAATGTACATGGTTATAAACAAGACTAGAGCCATCTGCACACTGACACACAAACAAAAATATTTTATGCTAAATAAGGACTTTTAAAATAGCTCCACATATTAAAGCTCCTTAAAACGTGTTCTCCCAAGAGATTGATACAAGATAAAGCTGAAAGTAGGTGCTTCTTCCAGCTTCAACTTGCTCCTTGTGGGCCTCATGTGAGATTTTGTGAGAGCATATTGTAAGCAGCTTTCATGTAAAGCTATTTGGCTAAATGATTCACCAAGACAACTTTAGTTCTACCGATAGGGTTGCTGGTAATGCTGAAGCTAAAAAAAACAATTTTACTAGTGAAACAGATTTGTGCAAATCAGGACAGGAGAGTTTAATACTAACCGTTTACTGATGGCTTACTGTGCATGTGAGGGTAGAGAACTCTGTTACCAGTTAGTGAGCAATAACATCATTTTTTTCGGGTAAATGACGACGTTAGTTTTCTGTATCCCTTATGATTAGTTGTAAACGTGTCGTAAAACATTCCTCGCAGGAGAGACCGTGCGCGGTTCTTCACAACGCGCAGAACATATACCACGCTCTTGCCCGGTTGGCCGGTCCAGGCCAGCCAATTGAAGTGCCCCGGCTGCCTTCTTTTGGCCCATCTTGTGGCGAAGGTACTCGCCGTTTGACTGCCACAAGGCAGCATGCCTGAATCAGGAGCAGAAGCGCGTGACCGCGTGAGAATCCAACTTGAACGGCTGTGCTGGTTGCGGCTCCGGCTGCAGCAGCCGCAGCCTCAGCCGCAGCCAGAAAAAACGAGCAGGCCGGAAAATTGGCTGCCTTCGCTTCTGCTTGCTGTACAGCCGTGTGGGCTGTGGCTGTGGCTAGCAGTTCTATCTACAGTAGCAGCTAGTTATAAGCCGCAGACGCAGCTTGCCCAAGCCCAAGGCCCAAATCGGCCCGTAGTATGCTGGTGCCTTCTCCGGTTCTCTTTTTTGTTTTTGTTTTGTTTTTGTTTTACTCAAAAAAAAAACCCGACAAGGCACCGCCAGCGGCCAACCCGACGACCACCGCCGGCAACCTCCTCACGCCGCCTCACGTGCCGCAGTCCACCCCGGCCGCTCGACAACACACGCACGCAAGGCATTCCTACCAGCAGGATCCGGCACGTGCTTGCCGGCACGCTAGTCCCTGTTGTGTCGACCAACACTTGGAGGTTTGACGGCTAAGAGGTGTTGCACGAACCTCGTCCACACAATTGAACACCGCAAGAACCTACCCACAAGTGAGATAACTCAATGACACGAGCAATCCACTAGAGTTATCTTTCGGCTCTCCGCCGGAGAAGGTACAAAACCCCTCACAATCACGGAAGCTGGCCATGAATAATCATCAACATGTGCCGAAGCTCCTCCGCTACTCCAAGCCGTCTAGGTGGCGGCAACCACCAAAAGTAATAAGAAATCCGCAGCCACAACGATCCTCAAATGCCACTAGATACAATCACTCAAGAAAATGCACTTTGAATCACTCCCAATCTCATTATAATGATGAATCAATAATGGAGATGAGTGAGAGGTGTTTGCTTGGGCTCACAAGGATGTCAAGTAGGTCAAAGTGCCAAGAGTATGAGCCTAGGGCCGACCAAAACGTATTTATAGAGCCCCAAAGAGAAAGAGCCATTGCTCTGTCCTCGGGCTGACCAGACTCCCTTTCAACTTGCGCCACCAGATCTCAACGGTCAAAACCGATCGCTCGCGTCGTTAAGTGATGACCGGACGCGCTGAAGGAAATGACCTGAGCCGCGCCTCCAGAGTCTGGTCAACTCCAGTAAGGCATCAGAGAGGTTTTTTGTTGACTGGACACGTCCGGTCCTTGCACTGCTCCTCTCTGTGCGCGAACACTGCTAACGTCACCATACGCCAGCACTGACCTGACGCGGCCCCTAC